TATAATTACACATTGTTTTTGTGATTAATCACTATGCTTTAATTATGTTCAATTTGTAACAATGAAATTGGGGGTCACCACAACATGAGGAACTGTATTAAAGGGTCGCGGCATTAGGAAGGTTGAGAACCACTGCTCTATCCCTTTGTGTCCATCCAAGAGACCTCTGTTTATCTCCCAGAACAGATTTGAGGTAAAATGGGAGCGTGTGTGCAAATAGGGTTGCAGAGATAGAAAGCAATAGAGAAATAAAAGATATTGTTGTTGCAGTCTTATTGTTGTTTCCATACTCATCAGCAGGTTAATCCTACTGAAGAAGACAAAAGGGAGGTTTGTCATATAATTGTGTATCCATAGTCCCATTGCTTAGTCTACCACTACTCAAAACATCACTAAAGGAAATCTTGGGGTCCAAAGAGAAGCACAGAAGTCAGGAGGAGAAATCAGCACTCCGATACAGAGAAAAATCAATGACTAAAGTGACTTCACATGCTAAGCCCTTTGAAGGGGAATCTTATTGCTATTTTCCATCACCTACTCCAGACATCCCCCACTTCAATGCCTAGCTATATATAGTTTCCATTCGTAGTATTAACAAGTGTGAACACTATGGAAGACAAGCCATTCAGTTAGCTCAACAAAGGGTTTACACTGGCATGTGTGAGAAAAACTCAGATAACCTCACCAAAAGGTGATTTTTTTTTTTTTGCTAATCCATTGTGAAATAATTTCCTGTCGATATTGCATAATGTCCTTGACATGAAAGGTCAGCATAGTTGTTCTAACAGGAAAAATTGTGATCTTTGTGTAATTTGTTTTGCACATTGCAGCATATTTTAATTATTAATCTGGTTTCTGCTCCTGTCATTTTACTGAAGCTTCTCTCTTAAAAGGCATCAATCACTTTCTAATCACTAAATGCCACTTCTTCTTCCAGTTATATCCTCCTTGAGTCCTCAATGGTAATCCTCAGTGTTGCTCAAATTCTTCCCAAAATCCTCTCTTAAATTCCAAACACTGCATTCTCCAGGTTCTGCTATGGCTCAGACCATTCCCTCAGTATCTTAATACCACTTCCTCTTCTTTCTCCTGTCCTTTAAAATCAGATTTTCCCTAAAAGTTCCCAATGCTCTTTTTCCTCCCAATGGCTTTTCTAGGTGATCTTATCCCCTCCACAACTTTTACTATTACCCCTGCATGTCCATTCACATCTCTACTCTCAAATTCTCTTAGACAGGCTTTTCGCTGCCTCCAGGATATCCATGTTTCATTGCCTTCTCAAACTCAATGCATTCACAGGCTCTTCCTCCTAACTTCCATATTTCCATGAATGGGGCCACCATCTTCCCAGACAGCCAGATTTTTGGAGAGTCACACCTTTTGCCTCCATTTACCTTTTCCTGGACATTCTTCAGCTGCAAACCATTGTGGCATATTGCTTATAAGCTCACTCCTGGCATTCATTTAAAGTTATCCTCCCTTGCAATTTAGTCAATTATACATGTATCTCATGCTCCCTACTAGATAGGAGCTCCTTGAGAAAAAGACTGTGCTTTCCCCAACTTTGTACACCCTGAAGAGTCTAGCACAGAGTCTGGTACAGAACAGGTATATTTAGTTGAAAAGGTGAAATTGAGCATTCATTGATACATTTTATTCACATCTTTCTGTCCTTTGTCATCTGTAGTCAACAACAGTGAGCTAAAATTATTCTTAATCTCAGTACTCTCTGAGGAAAACTATTAAAGACACGTTCTAAGTACTACCACAACATGCAGAGTTCTTGCTGTACTGAATTTATTGTGCGTGCAGCCCACATTTTCATTCATTGATTCCACATGAGAAAAAAAAAATCTATATTTAGAAGGGACACTGAAATGTGTGGGGAACCAAATTCACACCTCATGTGAAAGCTATTCCTTAGATTTGCCTCCTCCGTAGTGGAATCCCTTCTCCAGTTCCCTATAATTTGCTTTTTCTGGTATTACTCCCACACTTGGTTATGAGAGCTCTGTATTGTGAAAAGCTACACTCAAAACATTGCAATTTTAATTCAGTGAAAGCACGCACCTCCAAGGATGACTCAGTGTTATAATGAGGCCCACACTCCTACTCTTGCTGATCTCTTCACTGACTCTGGGGTTTGATGTTAACTCAGCACGATCACAAGTTTTCGTTTTAGGGCTTGGTTTTTGTTCTGTTTAATATCAGAATAAACAGCATAATGGAAGGTAGCATAGTCAAGCTTTCTGATATCCTGGCCTACATTCCAATGCCAAATGCATGGCTTTAAATCCACCAATAGGAAGAGAGCAGACGTTGGGTTTATTGTAGCCCGGAGAACTGAAAAGGAAGCTTGCCCCAACCTGCATTCTGGTGAAGAAGTTTAAGAAAAATTTTAACAAATCATTCCACTGGCCTCTTCTTACTGAAAGGGCTATAAAGGGGTAAATAAATAGAGCCCTACCTCTGCCCTAAGGAATTTTTCCAGATTCATTATTTTATAGAAAGAAGAAGAAGAAAAAAGGCAACTCATGCCAGAACCTGCACTTTTAAGAGCACTTCATCCAGCTCAATAGTTTTTTTGTTAATGTCCAGCTAGTGGACAGTATAAAGCTAACACATACATCAAAACCATTCATGTGTGAGAAATTTCATGTATTGAATCCATCAGGAAAGCCACAACCACAGAATTAAAGACCCATTTAGAACTCGAGCTTGGTTCACATCTAGTAATGGTTGACAACATCTCAAGCTCGTGTTTGGACACGAGCTGATTTTTTAACATTCGCTGAAGAGGATCTCACAGGAGAACTGTGCTGCCAGGTTGTTTTTAATGAAGCCGAATTCAAATGGTATCACTCATCTGTTTACTCCTCCCCATGCCCTGAGTCTAAGTCTCACCTACTTCTCCTACCTATTTCCAGCGCCTCCTACTTGACACTTTCACATTCCAGTCAACTGAACAACTCCCTCTTCCCCATGTCATCTCATGGATTTCTGCCTCTATGTGTTTGATGTGCTACTTTCTGATCTCCTTCTCAAATCTCAGTTCAAATGTTCCTTCCTCCATAGAACATTCTTTGACTCGCCTTTTTCCAACCAATTATTCCGCTGCTGTATCTGTACCTCAAATCATTTCATTCCTTCCTACTTTGCTTTTTATGGTTTGTGTGTTCACTATTTCCACCTATCTTAATTTCCCCAGCTAACACGTACACTCCCTCAGGAAAAAAGATCCAGAAGGAATTATTTTTTTAATATTTAGAACATATGTTCCAGTTTTTGCTTATGCAGATCCATTAATATTCCTTGGGGAAAAAGAACAAATGCTTCCCAAGGTATTAATGAGAATGGAAAACTGTCGGTGGCTTGACTCTACTTTGTAGGTCGACAATCTCCGAGTCCTCCCTTGGGGTTAACATCATTGATTGATTAGCATGGCAGCGCCTGACTTTCTTTCCTCAAAGTAGGCCGCTCCATGCCTGCTGTGCTGAGCTTCTCCACTGTTAGTGGTTGTTCTTCAGCATACAGTGGCTTCACTGCACAATATCCACAAACTGCATTAGAAGCAAGCATGAGGCACATGTTTTATAAGCGTTCATGAAAATAAAGCACCAAAAAACTCTCAGTAAGTAGCAATTTTACTCTTTCTTTTCTAAGGCAATGCCAGCAATCCTGAAACAGCCAGCACATGGTCACTCATGTCTTGCCAAGTCTTCTTACATTATCAAGTCCATTGATATCAAAGCCAGGCATCATCATCGTCTACTACTTAGTCAGTTGCCACAGAATGCTTGGCGTCACACTAAGCACTTGAGTAAAAGTGTACCTTAATTGTTGAAAGCACAGTCCCTGAGCTCTTGGAATTTCCTTCTGAGTCAGTGCACATTGGCATGGAGTGTTACCTCTAAGTTACAAAACTAAATTTCCATAAAAGAATCAGAAGTTAGATTTTTAAAGCAGTCACGTTGGAAGGCAATGTAATTCCAATGTTGTTGGCATTGCCTAAAGTTATTTTAGAACTCTTCTTTAGATTCATTTCTCTTTTTTTTCCCACCATTCATCCCGCCAATACCTTCTCCCCCTCTCCCCACCCTCTGCTATGTGACTGTGCGGGTTTTTATTTGTTTGTTTGTGGGTGGGGTTTCTTTTTTGCTTAATCTCTTCACCTTTTTCAGCCATCTCCATTAAAGTCAATTTATATGGCATATTTATCAGGACCTTTTATCAGATGTTATCATGTTTCCTTTTGTTTTAACCTCCGGTGGAATTATCCAGCTTGATTACCCAGACCTGGCTCCTAATGAACGAGGGTAAGTTTGAAAATCACAACCATCTTTGAAAGGTGAAGATTTTCTACAACTGAGGACATTTCAGAGAGAGGCCCTCGAGGCTCTTCTAAAAGTATTTTGATCAATAGCAGCATAATAAGAGTAGATGCATAATCTTACTGGGACTGGGGGGAAGACTTAGAATGTTTGTGTTTAGACATGTTTGCCATATAGTCACACTCAGCATGTTTCCCAAAAGAACTATAAAAGGCAAATAGAAAAAGCATTTGTTTGTTTTTTTCTTGCATTTATGCATAGTATTGCCTTTGAAAGAAAGTATTCAAAAAAAGATTAAGTATTCAGGCAGTGCCCTTAGCGATCCCAGATCTGTCTTTGCTTCAACGGTGTTTGGATGGAACAGACCCAGGGACGCCCCTTCTTCCAGCCTCCGGCCACTCTTCTGCGTCTTATCCAGTCACCACCTTCAGAACCACCTCTGGGACCAGCCAACACACCAGGGTTTTTTTTTTCCTACCTTCACTCCTTATTGCCGAACAACCATGAGCTCCCAAATGCCTCAGAATTATCCCACCGATGTGGAGGCTGCGGTCAACCACCTGGCCAGCCTGCATCTGCAGGCCTCCCACACCTACCTCTCTCTGGGCTTCTATTTCGGGTGAAGATGTGGCTCTCGAGGGCCTGGGCCGCTTCTTCTGCGAGTTTGCAGAGAAGAAGAGGGAGGGCTCTGAGCATCTCTTAAAGATACAAAACCAGCTCCGTGGCCGCATTCTCTCCAGGACGTGCTGCAGCCTCCCCAAGGTGAGTGGCAAAACTCAGGGTGCCATGGAGGCCACCCTGGCCTTGGAGAGGAGCCTGACCCAGGCCCTTTAGGAGCTGCAGGCCCTCAGCTCGGTGACTTCCTGGAGAACCACTTCCGGGGTGAGGAGGTGAAACTCATCAAGAAGATGGGTGACACCCTCCACAGGCTGCTGGCCCCCAGGCTGGGCTGGGTGAGTATCCCTTCTAAAAGCTCACCCTCAAGCACGACTAGGAGCCTGTGGAGCCCAGAGGCCTTTGAGGGGCCCCTCTGCATCCCCTGGTGTCTGGCTTTTACCTCAGCCTCTTCCCAAAACTACTAGCCATTCTTTTAACCACCCTGAAGCCCTCCCCCTTGCATTTGGACCAAAAAAAAAAAAACAAAGGCTTTTTTTGGGGGGGGGGGGGGGGGGGGGAAGAGTATTCAATTAATACTTTCTTCTACTGAAAATTAACTATTCAGGAGCCAAAACGTAGATCTGAGGGCCAAATTGGACTCAGCCAAACCTTCAGATACACATCTGTGTAGTAGCTGGCTAATGGTCCACATATTTTAGTTCTTTCCTATTGTACAGTTTAATTTGGCTTTGGTACTATAGGATTTCTCTGTTTTTCTAAATCATGCCAAAAGTTTTATGAATTAGGGCCTCCAACATGGATGTTTTGTATCGTGGCAAACACTCTCCAAATCTGGTATGTAAGCACTGGAACTGGCACTTGAACTTGGGGGCATTAAGACAACACCATGGACTTCACATGGTACTTGAGAAAGCACAGCTGAGCCACACCATTTAGTCACATTATATTGTGTCATGAGGGGAAAAATGATCAAGGACCAAAGGTGGAAAAGATTCCTGTGTCGTGTAAATGTATAGTTTGCAAATATTATATGTGTCACAAATACCTTTTGACTTTTCAACTGCTTCACTGGCCTACGGCTGTATAAGGAACCTACCTCCCTAGAATGATCAAAATAATCTAAGCTATGAAGATGCTAAATAAAAGTCCTACAAGTAATACATCGCAATTGGAAATGTGCTAAATTATTAGTAAAAACACCATCTTTCCACAAATAATGCCTTAAGAAAAGCACTTCCAATATCATAAAGGTAATGAATTGTGGTATTTAAAGAAGAGTTCTAAATCTAAATAGTAGTGATTTTAATAGCTTTGTTGATTGAGCACCAATTATGTTCATGTAGTGCATACTTTGACGGAGCTATTAACTATCCTCACTTAACAGATGGAACAAATGAACCTCGGAGAGACATAGCTAGTAAATGGGCAACACCTGTGCTATGTGGCAGACTCAAATTAAGGTCCTCCCTGGAGCCCGATTTCTATAAATCCACCTCAGTTTTCAAAAATAATTTGAATGGTGATAAGAGAAAAAAAAGGGGGGAGGAGAAAGGAAGGAAGGAAAGAAGGAAAGAAGGAAGGAAGGAAGGAAGGAAGGAAGGAAGGAAGGAAGGAAGGAAGGAAGGAAGGAAGGAAGGAAGGAAGGAAGAGAAAGAAGAGATGCTGCAATACAGTATCCATTGTCTGTACTCTTCATGGTTTTAATGATTCCACCTGAGAACCCATGACCCATCTACATGCTATTAGTTCTCTGTTTTTACTGCGTCTAAGGGAGTACACAGCCATTTGCCAAAGTGAGAAGAGGGTTGTGGCTGGTACAAAACAATGCTAATTCTGTATATTACAGTCCCTGCCTTCCTAGAGTTTATATTTTGTAAGAGAATATGTCTGTTTTTCTTTCTAACATATCCCCAGCACTTGGCACAATGCCTGTCACAAATTGTACCCAATAAATATGTGTTGCTGAAAGCATGTTGAAAGAGTGTTTTGAGGGAAGTATGGGCAGGTTTAGGGATGTGGCTGCCCAAAATAATCATAGAGCAACACAAACTGCCCTTACTCAAAAGAACCTTTCAGGGACAGTCTGCCATTTTACCACTTGGAGCTTCACTTGTATGGACAGGTTCTTCTTTGAAGAGGTAAACATAGCAGTCATTCCCATCGTGATGCCAATGATTTATTAGGTAAACATCTTTGAGAGGTGGTGGGGAGTCCAAGAAAAGGGAGTGGGGAGTTAGAAAGTGTAACTAAGAAAAAGTGGAGAGAGATTCCTCTTGCTCCCCAATGTCTCCCCCACTCCACTCCAACTATTTCAATGAGTTGTCTCCTTGGGCAAGAGAGTCCTTTATTAAACAAGACTGAAAAGCTTCTAATGACACCATGAATGCTACAATAGGAAGATGCCCCCGATTGTACATGACCTCAGATCTCATTTCTGCTACTTTTATGCACACCTGCAAATGTGCATTCTTAGCCTAGGTTTTCTAATTCACTAATTCACTACTTGGTCTTGTTACCTTGGCTTTAATTGTTTAACAACATCTATGTATTAAGCTATGATTGTCACAAATTATTTTTCCAAGTGCATGGGATATAGAAACATTGAGTTATAGGTAAACATACAACATAGTACAAAACAATCTGCCTCTTTCTAAATAAGAATTGGTTTGCTCCAAGGCTTTAGTGGAGTCATGGAAAAAGTGACGGTCTTATATTCTCCAAGTCCTTAGCCCTGCTATTTTTTATGTGCTTGACCTTGGGCAGGTCATAGTTTCCTTGAGCTTCATTTTCCTCTGTAAAAGGTAATAATAATTATATTATAATTAATATTATATATTTAATACATACAAATAAAACTGAGGGTCCTTATGATGTTAATTAAATTTAGTTTTAAATTCTAGCTCTAGAAATCATCTCTCTCTCTCTCTCTCTCTCTATATATATATATATACATATATATATATATATATATATCCTCCTCCACCCCCCCCCCCTCCCAGACCTAGCCTTTTCCTCAGATAATCAGCAACCCCAAGGCAGCAGAAGACAATAGCCTGGAGCTGACAAATGGTCACACTGCCCTACCTCTGGAAGGCTAAAGATAACATCTTGACCTCAGTTATGCTTCAGTTCCTGAGCCCTGTGGTGGGCCCACCACTTTCCCATGAAACCAGACAGAGGATGCCAGAACAGACCTCAGAGCTACCCTCCAGACCTGAAGAAGTGAAATCCTGAAGAAATGATTTAGCACCCTTACCTCACCTATGACAAATCAGCTCCCATCACGACCTGGAACCTCTAGCCCACCGTGTCTTGTGATTTTTGCCCAATATAATCTGCAATCTACATGGCATTGGGGAGTTTGGGCTTTTGAGCATTAGCCTCTCGTTCTCCTGAATGGTGCATTCATAATAAAATAGCCAATATTTCTCCACTGCAATGTTTGGCTCTGCTAGTGCCGGGTGGACAAACTCTTTCTGTTCTGTAATATATATAAAACTTTGTAGTAGTATATACCTCACAGAACTGTTGGGAAAATTAAGGTGATAATATATGGGGAAATGTTTTGTAACCTATAGAGCTCTGTACACATATAAGGTACTATTATTGCTTGAAGAACCTGAATTATAGCAGTTAGACTAACTTGCATTCCAATCCTGGCTCCACTGCTTGCGAGCTGCATGACATCAAGCAATTATATAATCTGAATTTAAGTTTTTCCCCTTTGTAAAATAGAGATGAGTTGTGATGATAAAACAAGGAAATGCTCTTGAAGTACTGCCTGGAACACAGTAGGTACTCAGTAAATGTTAGCTCCCTTTCCTGCTGCAGTTTTAAATGCCTTTATTTTCCTTGAATCAGGAAATATAATAACCAGGATGAACCATGATGATATGATGCAACAACAGAGCAGCAAATCAATGATAAGACATAAATCATGGTGTTTCTCCATCTAGTAATAATCTCTTATTGTGCTGGAACCATCAACAGCAAATTGCACAAATGCCAAATCAACAGCCTAAGGAACAGCATGAAGCAACCATGGCAAGGTAACTTAACCTGGAAAGCGTACCATAAAAAGATGAGTGATGACCCCGAAAATATCCTTATTTGTATTCAAAAATGTAATTGCAAATTGCTTAGACAAGCAGGATATGTTCAATTAGGTTTTTGAAATTTTACCAGAAAAATGGTTTGAGCTCTCTAAGACCTTGTGGAGTTCTGGGCTCATGATACACAAGCTCTTGTACAAGTCATTTAAGATTGCTTCTTACCACCGACAATTTTTTTAAAATGCATAATATTGCATGCTTTGCCACTAAGCTCTACTGTGTGTCATCCTAATTAAGGATGCAGACAGGCTGTGCAGTAATGATGATTGATGTCTGCTCCACGCCTTAGTGAGGAGGAAGGTGAAGATGAGCATTCGCTGTAGCCCTCGAGAGAAACGTGGTAATTGGTATTGCTCACTGCACCGCAAATCACATCTTCCTGGAATTATAGAAGAGGCACTTAAGAATAGAGAATTATCTTGCGTAAAATTGTAGTTTTGCTCATCCCAAGGAACAATCCTGCAAGGCACAGTTTTTCCATTCTTTTCGGTACATAAATGAATGACAATGTAATTTTTACCATTTCACTTCAGTTGGGCCATCACAATACCAGTAATAATCATAGTTCATTTTTGACTTTCTGACGTGGACCTCTGTTTTTATCTTTTGTATTTTTAGACTTTTGTGTCTTGAGATTTATCAGTCTTCTTGTCTGCATGTTTACCTGCCAGCGTGAGAGCAGCTATTTTAATAGTAACAGTAGTAACTGTCCTTGAAATAATGAGAAACAGTTCGTGAGTAAAGAACTAGTTCAACAGTGTTGGCTCGTGGCCCACTCCCACCCTCCTGCAGCTTGATCACTTTTCCCTCTAAAACGAAACACAGAAATGATCACCAGTTAACAAACTCCAAGCACAGGTTAATACAAGCGACCACACCGGGTATCATGTAGGCTTCACAGCAGAGAAAGCTTTGCCTACAGAGACTGTACCTACTACTTGTCAAGCAATACAAAATGGGGTCTCTCCTCTGAAAAAGGCCCGGATTCTACTCAAACTTAATCTTCTAAAGCCAACTTTCTAAAAAGTGAGGGTTCTTTATCTATACTCTCTAACTTACCCATCTAACAAATTAAAAAGTAGGGTTAGGACATTCATCCATTGGGGATCTGATTCAATAAATTAGAGCATACCGAAATAATGAATCAACCTCTGTAAAGTCAGTGCATTCTCTTTGAAGGGCAATTCTGATCAATTCTGAAAGAAAAGGCGGGAGTAAATCAGGGACTTAGAATTCAACAGAGCAGAAGAAACTGAGGCTATTTGGGGCTATTTCGTACTCAAACTGAGGAGCAGAGTGTTATTAAGGAATGGGTTCACAGCTATGCCAAAAAAATTAAAAAGCCGAATACAAGCCAGGCTAGGTGGGGATCAAAATGGATGAATCTGACCACCAGTCCCATGCTCCCCAATTAGGTACCACTGTTCAACTGAGACAACTCAAGACAGAAGCACAAAGCTGAGCAAGAATTAGAAGCTGCTTTGGGACTTGGCCTTCAAGTTCTCTGGCTTTGCAGAGACAGAAACATCAGGGGCAAGACTCATCGTTGTTCCATTCGCCCAGTCAACCTCAACCTGCCTTCTCTTCCTTAGAATTGTAGAATTTGTAGAGCTGATAAAAATTGTAGAGCTGAACAATTTATTCATTCTGCCAAGGTGAATAGAGACCTAAGAACAGGAGGCCACTGTTTAGTAGAACACTGGCCAGGGGACTAAGGACATCAAAACTCTAATTGCCACTCAGCTTATAACTACCTATGTGACTTTGAACACATTACTCCTCCTCCCAGCCTCTTTCCAAAATGGATGAATCGCTTATCTCCAAGGTGCTAATCACAGACAATGGTCCAATGTTGCATTTCATTCCAGAGGCTTCTGAATTTTAATCCTCTACTTCTGGAATAAAATATTTTACTTCAAAGGAGTGAATCTCAAATAATGGGAATTATAGGTAGCACTGGCTGTCTGTTACCAATGCTTCCTTTTATTTCTTTGCCTGCATACACTGATGTTACACAGCCAATAGTGATGCTAACAAACTTGAATTTAATTGAGTTGGAGGGTTTGATGGCATGAGTTTCTAAAAGCAGTTCCAGTCTTCAAGGTTGTACAAATTATGTATGATTTCGTAACTAGTGGGGTTTCCAGCTAGTGCCAATGCTATTTTTCCAAGTCAGTTTCATTATTTGGAAAGTAAATAAAAGAAGTATTTTCATCCCCAAAGATATAATTTTATGTGCAGAGGGTTAGAAAAATGTTGCAAGGAAAAAAAAAACATTGCAGAAAGAAACAGGCATTGGATATTGGCATTTTTAAGCAGAGCAGGATATAAAGATATCCTTTATATCTTCAAATAAAGGATAAGAGTTATTTTATTTGCAAATGAGAAAGATGACTAAATATTGACACTGCCCTTTATTGTAATTAGAATTATATGTATAAGATATGGTTGACTCTCCATAAGTCAGACAAAAGCACACCTAAAGCAATTCTCTTTCCATGTGTAAAATAAGGAATGATGCCTCAGAGTGAAGTATTATAAACATGCAATCACCATCATTCTGGATTAGCAAAAATTACCCAAGATTCTTCATCTGTTAAAAGAATGATCGCTCCGTCCCTTTCCAGCTCACCGGGAGCTTTCAGTGGAAAAAGAGCTAGTCAAATTAGCTAGCAATTGCAACGAATCAGTGGCAATATGACTTTTACCTTGGGCAGCACTTCCATGTCTTTCCGTGTTAATAGTCTCTGGACTTAAATGAAAACCCACATGGTTTAATTTGTAACTTAAGAAATAAGAACTAATTATTCTTCCTTATAACAAGCCATTTCTTTCAGAAGGTGGAAAAGCTGAGAACCTTTCTGGGTCTTTTTATATTGTTTTCAGTTCCATTGTGTTGAAATTTGTTGACTAATGATTTAAATACAGCATTGTCACAGGGTAGGTCCCCTATAGATCCCCTGGGTTTAATAAACACAAAACGGCTAAGTACTGCTTTCCCAGAGCAATGTGTGGGTTCCCTTCCCATGAAAGATTCGATTCAGAGAGTTACATTCTTCTGACCATTTTCCTCCTATCACACTTGACATTCACGCTAGGATTTACGTAGAGCAATTAAAGTGCTTCTAGTAAGCATTTTAGTGTCCAATACATATAAAATAAATCTGCTTCTTACAAATAGCATTTTCCCAAAATAAGCATTGAAAATTTCTCACCACTTCAATATACTTCCCACACAAGTAAATGCATATCTTAGTTGGAGTAAAAACCACCACCACCACCCCAAAGTTTGGTTTGCAAATGGAATCACAATGCTATTTTGAAGGGAGAACAGAAACTCGGGAGTGCCCTATAGCTTCCTGAAAAGTAAAATCTGAAAAATGTGAGACTGTTTTGTTCATTGAATTTGGACCAACATTATTGCTTCTTGCTTTAGGAGTGTTATCTAAATAAATGAAAAATAACCTTGAACCTCTGACCATAATGCTTCATGTATCTATTAAATGATGCCATCATGGTTTTCTTCCACTCAGTAAATTATACCTTCTGAAAAATAAATTACATTTGCAAATAACTTTCAAATATATTATCTCATTTAACTCTAACCACAGTCCCACCAAATAGGTAATTTTCCTCACTCTTCTCAAACCTTCTACTCCATCCTTGGCCCCCTCCCTTTGAACCAAAGACTGAGCCCCCCACTTCCCAAGACAATAGTGATCACCAGAAGAGAATTCCTTCAACTTCAGTCCCCCTGTCTTCCTGAATTCATACCCATCTCTGTTTCTTTCCCTCCTGCCCCAAAGCAAGAAGGATCCCTCCTCCTATCTAAGGTTAACATTCCCTCAACCCCTCCCTGGCCCACTTTGGAGAGATTTTTTTTTTCTCTCCACTTGTTCCCATTCTTATCTTCCTTCTCTAATAGCTCTCTACCACCAGCATTTAAACACTTCACCCTTCAACTCCTCAGGTGCCTCTACCTACCACACTCCATCTCTTCCTTTTCACCTCTACATTTCTTGAATTCACTAGCCTCTCAAACTCGCTGTCCTCTTGAACCTTCCCTTCTGAATTCTAGTCATGCTCCTCCATTCCTCACCTCCCACTGACCCCTTAGCCCACCATAAACTGGTTTCTGGCAAACATTCCACTAAAACTCTTCTTGCCAAAGTCCTCCCTGTCACAAAT